CTTATGGCAGAATTTCAATTCAGTAGGACGTGCCCACGCCTTAAGTAAAATTCACTAATACGGTATCTATTCTGTATATCCGGTACACAATTAGTGAAGCTTGTTCAACAACATCCATTGACACGTGTTCGACTTCAATAATTATTGCTTGTCTTCTCAAATCCCATTTTGGTAAGTCGAATTCTATTTCGATTTCATGAGCATAAAAATGTACGTGTTGATTTGAATATAATATGCACATTATCGGTGTAATATCTCCAAAAATCTTAAGATGAATTTTGTTTTTAATGTGTGGATTATATTCTAATTTGTTTAGAATCTGAAAATCTCTATCACGTACATTCTCGGCACTTTATATGCAGTCTGTTATAAGCAATCACAACATGAGATTGCATGCTTATATGTATATTTTATATGTATAATTGATATACCAGATTTATTGAAGAATTCATTCTCATGGACGGTAGGAACATAAATTATTGATACATGTTTAGTACTCTCGTCTCTGCAAGACCATGTATATGTTCTTTCCTTATACATGTTCTGGTTATTTAAATGGTGAGTAAGTGAAATGAATTTTCATTAATCTGGAAGTGGACATGAAAATTGGAAAGAAAGTAAAACTAAATGTGTCTGACAATTTTACATGATAAACCCGGAAATCAGTTAATGGTTTAAAGGAAATAATTTAATTACATGTTTACGCTTCTATGTGCATGGTAAAAGTTTCAAATGAAATATAATATATTCTTTGGTGAAAGTTTCAAAATCTGGAAAGAATTGGGTGTGTTTATTCAGAAGTATGCATGTTATAAGAATCATGTCTTGTTATTTAAAAGGGATTGCCTTATAATTGTAAAAGAAGTTAAAAGACTTCTTCTCAAACATATTAGTTTTGCTTCCAGATTTCATAACATGATTTGTCTTCAATATTTTATTGAAAATCTGATTTCATAAGTGGTCGTGATTTTAATGACATTTTGTGATGCATATATAATATATATGAGTAAATTGATGGTAACAATCCCATGGTGTTCGGTGAGTATGAAAAATTGTGTTACTTTCTAACATGAAATGCATGAATCTCCGAATAGATTAAATCTGAAACACAATTTATGGAAAATTGGTTTGGAAATCGAGAAAATTGGTTAAGTATCGAAAACCAAACTTTAGAAAAAGTGATTTCGTGTCAACTTCAGCCAAATATTCGGATTTGATCCACTAGTCACAAATATGGTATTCCTCCATCCGACATTCATGGGTAATGAATTTGTGTATTATTTGGATGGTTAAATGCACATAATCAATAGTGATTATATAACGTAGAATCATTCATATTTGTTTTGAAGTTTCGTGCACAATTGATCTATGTAAATGCATATTACATTGTGCATTAATGATGTATAAATAACATATGAAATGATTTAATGATACATGACTTTTCAAAGTATATTTGTTCATTTCATAAAATTGTCATGCAAACCATTGTGCATGCATATTAAAGTAAAGTGAAAGATTGTCTTTCCACCTTAATTTAAAAGGTAGTTATCCTTATTTATAGACAGTGATAGTCTCACAAATAAAACGATTGATTTATTAATATGAATGTGTCTATTGAATTCTGAAATAAATCAGTTTATCTGGATTCCAATTAGTTAAGTTAATTAACGATAATCCATCGATGAGATATTTTTGTCGATGAGATATTTTTGTCATCTAATAGTATAATGACTTCGAGCAGTATATTTGCTACATGAACATGCTCAA